CTGGAATACAGAAGTATGATCACATCACCCCATGTCTGAAGGAACTAAAATGGCTCCCGGTATCGAAAGAACTTTACTTACGCGATGCAGTTATGACCTTCAAGTGCATAAAAGGAACTGCCCCTACCTATCTAACGCAGCATTTTCGTAGTAGATTATCAATAAGTGGGAGAACCACAAGACAATCAAATGATATTCAATGACAATCAAATGATACTCCTAAATGTAGAACTCCTACCGGACAAAGCCGTTTGCTTACAGAGCATCGAACGGTTATATTGAACTCCCTCTGCCCCTCACTTAAACAGGTTAAGTCGGCCAAAGTTTTTAAAAATTGCTATAAAGAAACAGCTATTAGAAATTTTCGTAGACACAAATTGACATTTAAATACATTTTATGATTTAGGATGTAAGTTAAATATTTAAGTTAGTAACAAATGTTTTTCCTATAAATATAACATATTAGTAATATTTTTATAATAGTAACTGTAAATTAGTTATGAAAAGCCCGAAATGGGATAACTAATAAAATTATATGTATGTATTCTCTACAAGTCCACATGTTCTTTTTCCTGTTCTAGCTCTGACGAGGACAAATTGGAAAACGACTATGAAGATGAATTTTTAGATGAAGGTAAGAGGAAGTACTGCATGCATGTAAATGAAAAAAAGTACAAAACAAAAAACCCTGGAAAAACAGACTGTTTTTTAAGTAAATGCGCGGAAATCGTCCGAAAATGAGATACATCCTTATACAAACCATCATGTATGAGCACCAATTACTTGAGCATGTTGCGTGTTTCTTTTTGAGGCACGAATGCTGTTATTTTCTAAATACTGTATATCAAGACAATCAAATAGAACTGCATGGTAGCAACTATTTGGATATGTTGATATCAATGAATCAATGATTTACAGAAATTTTGCCTTTCGTCAACTTCGCCCAAAATTATAGTACTAATTTTAGTCAGCATGGTTAAATGAATATTTGTAGCAGCATGGAGTAATTTACCTGACCTTAGTACCGTAGGCAACCAAAAATACGCGTGTATAATGCACCAAATCAGTATAACCAAATGTCAATTTCGAAATAAAATTTCACCATTCCTCTGCATGAAATTTGTCGCGCGCCGCATTCCTTTCAAGGACGGCGCTTGGCGGCGCAACAAACTTGAAAGAGGCTTATTTAAAAATTGACATTTGTCATAGATTTGGTGCATTGTACTTCTAGACGTACTTGGGGCTGCCTATGGTTGTACATATCCCAGACTAATAAATGGTTTTGGTCAGCCTAGACCTAGGCCTTTACTCGGCTGGCTTTGGCAGGTATCTTTGGCAGGTTTGGTCAATTTCCGGCTAGCATTTGGTAATTAGCGCAATGGCCATTTGCCTCGTAAAGGCCTAGTCGATTTCCCAAGTTCTCAAATTAGCCCCATAAGTTGGCCATAACTTCTTGATCCGAAATTGATCAGAAACCAACAACTAAAGCAATTTATACTGTCCAGTAGTTATTACATTAACTATAAAAACATTTTATATGACTAAACTAACCTATTATTAGTTTATAAATGTCGCGTTAAATTGTATTAAACATCTTTAAAGGCCTTTAAAGTTCCAACAATTTTGTACACTGATTTATACTCGAAATAATTCCTTTATTCGCAAGACAATCTACTGTTTTGCTTTGAATAACTATATTTGCGAATCGGGAATGAGGATTTTGACATTATTGTTCAAGTATTATGGATATACCATTTGTAAACAATGTACGTTTTATACACTGTACGGGCTAATAATATATGTATCCGTTTTATTTAATAATTGTATATGTGTTTGTATATTTTACAAACACAAGGCTGATTCTTGCCAAAATTGAGAAAATATATATCAATGTAGTTGTGTAAAAGACAAAATTTCATGAAAGATTCTACTTTTGGTATTTTGAGCTTTCGCTACACTTTGTCAACATATTAAATAATAGTGTTGCTTCAAACTTTATGATAAAAAACCCGATTTTCTAGACGTGTATACAAATAAGAATAGTAAGTTTATACTATAAATGAGTTTATTTTACCTGTATCGGTTTAAATTCGCTGTTAAGTTGCAAATAATTCTGTTTCAGAACGCAATAATTGGGCATTGCGCAATCAGGGCAGTTTCAGGGCAGTTTTGGCCTTGTTGTTGGGAAATCCACTAGGCCTTCTATTTTTTCGCTTGCGTCAGGCTTGCGTCCATCCTCCACCCCGCCCCCAAATCACCTAGTCCCAGTCTTTTCATGTGAAAAAGCGATGAATATTAAAAAAATAATAAAGATAGAAGGCCTAGGTCTAGGCTGGGTTTTGGTCATTGAAACTAATTGACGTCTTTTGATACGTGAAAGAATGAAATTTCACCGCATTTTTAGTAAGTTTCGAAGAAACTTTACAGTATTGTGACGAGTGGCGAAAATTCAAACGAATCAGTCAGTCAGTCAGTCATAGTGTAAGGTTTCTGTGGGTCGATTTATGTTTGTAGTCGGATTTATTGTACTTACTCAGTACTTTGAAGGTTAATTAATAGGCAATTCAGTTGTCTTATTTAAATATTCTTTTGTCCTTTCTAAGATGAATGCATACTTTTATGTTAATATAGCGAATAGTTTAAAAGAAACTTCTGATGACATCATCGCTCGATTGAAAATACGATCAATGAAGGTATGAACTATTTTGTCAAGTATAGTGCATGACCATCTGCATGTTCTCGTTAGCCATGCAACAAAATGTATTGCATCTGGAACAGAGTTGCAAGAATGCTGCGGGTATGCGGTTACCACCTGTGATAAAGGTTTACCATGTGTGAGCTCAGTGAGGAAGATTTACTGTGGAACACTCTACTCAACACTAACATCATAAAACAAATAAATTATGCTTGACTCTTGGCAGGTTGAGTTTGCAGCATGCTGATAATTGGGTTGGTAACTACTGGGATGGTACTGACACCAGACAGCTATCACATTGGAGAATGCCGAGGAGGAAACATTAACAATTGAAAAATTTTCTGTAGGAAATCATTTTGAATGACATAATAGGGCCATTTATACGGGACAAAATAAGTCGCGACTTACATAAGACGCGTCTTATATAAGCGGAGTTATCGCATAAATGGTTCTCTACGGGTTTATTCTTATTTACTTGCTATAGCTATAATGTTGTTTCGGTTGTTTTTGTTTTAATATGCAAGGCAAATAATTTTACGTTGTTTCAAGTTTCGGGCATGTGTAGTTAGAATTTTTGTCCAAAATATTTTATTTAAGACGCGACTTAAATAAGAACAGCTAAAAGTCCTGTTCTTATGTAAGACGCGTCTTATCCAAGACGCGTCTTACATAAGAATTTTGTACCTTTTATACGACAAACTCGCGTCTTATTTAGGTCGCGTCTTATGTAAGTCGCGTCTTTTTTTGTCCCGTATAAATGGCCCTAATGTATATTTTGCAATTTGAAAGAGCCACGATTCACATTATTTTGAGGAACGTTTCAAAACTTGATATTTACTGAAAGGAATTAGGTTCAACAGTTCTTGCAAACTCTGTTCTGGAAATCCTTATGTGTTGTAGCAATGCCAAATGATCACACTCCCAATTTGTGAATTTTCTGACCTTCCTATACCCCAATATTTTAGGGATATGAAAACGGAACCACGGGATTTTTTGTTGGACCAATTGTTGAAAAACACAGTCTGTCATGTATAGGGATGCCAGATGTATAGTTGTTAGAGTTTGAGTGCCATCCACAAATTTATTCCAATAAATCATATTCGGGCAGTTCATTTAAGCGAATTAGGAGTCTCTACCGCGCATCCAACGAGGCGTTCTGCGTTGGCATAGATCGCAGTTGAAAATAAAACATGTAGTATTGGAATATCCGCATGAAATATTAGAATAACCATGCATATGAAATATCTACTGTTCAATCATTATTTGAATATGCAAAAAGTTGCTCAAAAACAACGACGCACGGTTTATTCACTTGAAATTACAAAATTTAATCCATCAATTGCACCTTTCTTTATTTTGATTACACAGAAGACATTATATGTGCTAGTAAAAAAATTATTCAATGGCTATATTCTATTGTAGTTATAGATGAAACACGATTACTCATTAATAATTCATAAGCTTATTGGCAAATCATGTCAACAATAATATGTCACATGCAGTGGCTTCAAACCTGATAAAACACTTATATAAAACATTTATATAAAGAATACTAATGAAGCAGAATCTATTGTTGTCGTCTCCTCATTAGTATTCTTTATATAAAGAATACTAATAAGGCGGTATATCTAGAATTTGTAGTCGTGTTTGAAGCCGTTTAATAAACTTGCAGGTCGTGTTTTATTAGGTCGAAAGCCACTCGCGCTGCGCGCTCGCGGCTTTAAACCTAATAAAACACTCCTGCTCGTTTATTAAACAGTACATAAAAGATTGCACAGTTCATTTCTTCAACATATTTAATGTACGCGTAAAATCCAACATCTTGTATAGCAAGTCTGCCAACAAGCTGTCAACAGTTGTGTTCGCACTGCTCGTCCCAAGTTGTCAACAAGTTTGCAACAACTTGTCAACAGTTGTCACAACCTTGTTGATTATCAGACTTGTATAGCAAGGTTGTCCCAACAAGTCCGATACAGTCATGATATAACAATATTGTTACAACCTAGTGTCGTCAACCTTGTAATATTCTTGTTATATCATGACTGTATCAGACCTGTTAGAACAACCTCAAGTATAACAAGGCTTGTTACAAGTTGTTAACAGCTTGTTCCAAACTTGTTAAACGACTAGAACGAGCAGTGCAAGCAAAACTTGTCCACAGCTTGTGAACAGATTTGTAACAAGTTGTTTGCAGACCTGATAACAACTTGTGCGTTTTTACTCGCGTACATTGTTATGATTCAACCGCAACTTATCCCGAACGCGTCATTTGTATGCGCAGTCGAGACTCTGTATTAGCTTATTAAAGGACGTTGGCAGTAAAAAAACACGTCTTGTTGCAGATTTTTCATGTCAGGCATAATTCTTGTTAATAATCTCGAGTTAATAACCACATTTCCACATTGATTATGGTCTTGATGACGTCAGACCGGAATTAGCCTTATAAAATTACTTGTCAAAACCAAAAGTTTGTTTAATTTAAAATATTTTTTTACTCCGTTCGAAATTTGAAATAGCAACCAAAAACGAGTTTTGTGCTCATATTGATCACTGGCTTTCAAGATAAAAAAATTGCGTCACCCTACTTGCGACGTAACGTGCATATCTTCAATAATCCAATATGGCGGACAGGTGACTCTTCAGAGTCAAAATATTTCAAGAATTAAAACAAATATGAAATATCGCTATAGTGGCCTTTAAGGAAAATTTGAAGGCTTTTTATTTCATAACGTTTAGTTGAACTTTTGTTCAATCTGCCCATTTTTCTGTTTTATAGCAAACAGAGCGACATAATGACAGAATGGCCGAGCTTAATTTGCCCGGGAAGTGAAACAGACTACAATATACGCGTTCTATCGCGTTGTATATACTGTAAAAATGGATACAATGTAAATGATATTAACTTAAAGTTTATGTTTCTAAATTATTTGTAGCCGAGTTTTGGCTGTTAACTTAAAATAAAATTTCAATGCGCAGTTATTTACACTACATTTGTAGATGTTTTTTTTATAATTATAGTTGTTGGAATATGTTATCGCGAGTTATTGGCTGAGTATAATTATGATACCAGTACTTCCCTTATACCGTATACCTCCGAATATATAACCCCTGCATGGACATGTATTATTTCGTAAGCATTTTTTGATGGGCTTCAACGGGAGGGCGTATATATACGGACGACATTTGATGGTCGTAATAATACAGTATGTATTGTACCTGTAAACTATATCGTGAACAAAAATAGATATAAACACAGTATGTAACTCATGATAAAACAAGTTGGTTAACACATAATACTGACAGAGATGGAATGCCCATCCTTGCGTTAATAAATACCTCCAATAATAAGCCCATGCATGGGATTGTGCACGGTGGGGGGAGCTTCTATTCGGAATGGCCTGAGCGTTAGTGAATATGGTGGGATTATACACTGGCGGGGGGGGGGGGCCTTATACTTTGGAGGGGTTTATATTCCGAGGTTCACGGTACTTCATGAATGTTATGAGTATACGTATCCGCATCAGATGCGTATTCATGTCGCAACAGCTGATATGCTGCTGTTTCAAGATGATTTCAACAAACGAATTTTTCCTTTTCACCGCTGGGTAAGACGATTATCATCTGGTATACGACATTGTCTTACCGAAGGATTCACCATTTTTTTGTCGATTGTCATTAATTTTTTACTTTAATTTTTTTTTACTTTAATTTAATTAATTGCGTGAGTAGATAACCAAACAACCCCAAATTACTCCCGCATTGCAGAAGGTAATCAATGGATGCCACCGCGCGCTGATTGGTCGTGCCTGTGACTCACGCGTGGTGGGATTCACGCTGAGCGTGATTCACGGTGTATGTAACTAGTTCCAGCATATAGACAATAGCGAGCTTAAGCAAGCGACGTTTTTGACAACACGAACGTTGACCGAAAGCAAATTTGACGTTATCAACCAATCAACATTCTTGACCCAGTCTTTCGACGTTACTCATGCCGCTCGTGTTGTCAAAAACGTCGCTGCTTAAGCTCGCTATTCAAAGGAATGGACCTTTGAATGAATTACTTCGAATGTCTATGGTCGCAGTTAGCTCTTTTCAAAACGTAACTAGTTATCGTTAGTTTAAAATGTAACGATTATAATTACTTGCCCTTTCGTTACTACTTTCGTTACTTACAGTACTAGCATTAAAGGGGCGTGTCACGGCGCTGATTGGCTAAAATAAACGGCGCAAAGAAACGTTTACTACCCATTTCACTGATATGTGCATTCCGCACCTTTTCTTGCTTCCGAACGGCGTTCGACGCAGGCCTGGTTACAAAATTTGGCGCCTTTTCAAGTTTGAATTTTCGGAAGTTAATATAAATAGTCAATGTCTTGTCTTGAATGACAGAAGTATTGACGAAAACTTGAAAAGGCGCCAAATTATGTAACCAGGCCTGCGTCGAACGTCGACCGTCGAACGCCGTTCGGAAGCAAAAAAAAAATGCGGAATGCACATTGCACACATCAGTGAAATGCGTACTAAAATTAATGCTACATGATTGGAAAAGATGCAGCAGCCTTCAATTTTTAAAACAAAGCAAGGATGCCCTGCATAACGAAGGGATTATAAAGAGTATATCGTATTTCACTCCTAACTTGATTAATTTAACTGTTGGCAAACAGTTTTTCAAGTTCGCGCATATTTTGGATGCGCAGTAGAACCGTGACACTAATGCCCCTTTAAGTAACATACGGAAGGTCTTATAAGCAAACACATGTACACGAGCTCTAATTTTATTCAGAAACCAAATGAAATTTGGGCCCGCAGTAATTGGCAATAAGCCGTTGCGGCAACCCTGCCACACTATTTTGTTTTAGTTGTTATTGTAGTTTTATTCTGGCAAAATTAATAAATGTAAATGAAAGTGAAGGTTTAACCCTTGAATGGATTAACGAACTAAAAATTCCTCAGCAATAGATCACAACATTTTTAACACAATGATATTCAATTTGATATATCTAAATGTGGTATTTCCCAAGGATCAATTCTTAGTCCGCGTAATTTTCTTCTTATACTAAATGACGTTTGTAATGTTCCCAATATTCATGATGTTATCTTATTTTCTGATCATATTAATTATCGCTTATAATGAATACAATTAATAGTGGATTGCTGAGCTAATCGAATGGTAATTTTTCTGTCGTGATTTCAAAACCCGTCTAAAAGATATACGCTTAAGTACTTAATTAATCAAATGTGAATATTTAACGAATCGGATATTCGGATCGAAGAAGTTGATTTATCTGTCCAACCTTGAAGAGAATATGATTGTCAAACTAAATTATATTTATCTATTTTGATGAGGTTATGCAACAGCCAAGGTTAACAGCTATGTGACCGAGGGGAAGAAATTGGTCGAGCGTTTCGCATCACTGTTACTGTTGTCGCGTCTGTGAGGCAAACGTTTTGGATCCATATTTATTTTGGGCCGTTTTCCACTTCAAACGCACGTACCCGCCTGAAACGTATCAATATTTAAAACTTAATAAATGTTGATATTGATTAATACTTCCGTTGTCTGTGAAAAAGTTGACTTGCGACGAACTTTTCATTTTGATACGAGAATACACCCGGAAGTACGTGAATTAGCTTGACTTTCTCACGGCAGTGTTTTCCGCCATTTTTTGGTACTGCCTCTCCCACGTTTGAGAGTCTCCACACCACGAAATACATTTTTTTAGTATTATAGTTGTTTGTATAATAGTAAATTTACAGTTACAAGTTTTGAAATTCCGCTTTTCACGTTGTTTGAATTGTCTTGAATCTTTTACGAGGGCAGACAGTACCCCAAAAATGGCGGATTTTGTCCTTCATGAGAAAGGCTGGTTTATCGATCTATTTTCAATCTACGCATGCTCACCAGTACGTTTCCGGTACAGTAAGGGCGAAATCGAAAACGGCCTTCAGCGTTTATATGCGGTCAGTCAAGATACCACTTACATGGTTCTAAACTTGAGTCCAACTATATAAGGCCCCTTTTGCACGAGCCCGGGCTAATTTTCAACCCAGGTCAACACGCCACAGGTGGTTATTTTTTATTCTGTTTACATGAACCCGGGTTGACGATTTTGACAGTTGACAATTTTTGCCAACTCGGGTGCACAATTCTCGGGGTGAGAGTTCTCAACCCGGGCTGGCTCGGGTAATAATCCGAGCAACAGACTGGAGTAGAGTGTATTTTTGGCGCTTATATCCCTTATACGATTATATCCCTTTTAGTTTTGGATGCTTATCTATTTTATTCGATTATATCCCTTTTTATCAGGGATTTTAGCCGCACCAACTTCTGCCTTAAAGGCGTTTTTTTCCTTTTGTGATAGCTCCTCGCTATCTTGCACTGACAGGACCAAAATATTCGACATCAAACGCCAACACCAGACCTTCGCGCAACTTTGAATACATTGCGACAACATTGGAGTTGAAATCTACATTTTTATAATCTATCTCCGTCTTATAAGCCTTCAGAGAAACGATTAGGTATTGAATCATTTCAGATGACCACTGAAACGCAGGTTGAGCGTTTTTTCTTTTGGTATTGGACCGTATCGTTTTTACTTGACATACTGTATGATTTTATATGTCTGTGCCACACAAAAAGACGGAGAGAATACGCGCGCAAAACGTTGAAATGTGACGCTAGGTGCAAAGTTCACAATCAGGAATTTACCACACTGAACATGATCCCGGGTCAAGCCAACCCAGCTTTACATGAAGAAATGTAAACTTTTCACGCCTTCACACCTCCCCAACCCGGGTCGATCTGGGTCTCGAGAAGGGTGCCTTGACCCGGCTATCGTGTAAACGCTAATAGAAATTTATTTGTAAACCGGTTGACCCCCGGGCTGACAAGCCAACCCGGGTTGATAGTCAACCCGGGTTCGTGTAAAGGCCTGGAGGCCTTACAGTCGTCGTCCCAGGTCACCCCTCGGTCATCTGGCCTAACACCTCGACATCAAAATGGGTAACGAAGGTGTTCCCTTTCGCACACTATTCTTCACACTCGTGCCTCTCTCCTGTGCAGATCCGCCTTAAGTATTTAGAAATAACTTACATGAGGTTTCCGGAATAAAGGTGACTGCATGTGGAATGCGATCACTCCGGATCCCTGCGCGCTCACTTTTCCCCGAAAGGAAAATTTATGCGAGCCTCTGCGGAGGCGAGAGCAGTCGTTCCCAGTATTTTTTTCAAATCTCGACTTGCGTTGGTCAGCCGGTTTGAATGTTATGCGCTAACAGATCTCTACAACAATTATTTACAAATCAGCTAATTGTAGCAAACATAATAAAAGGGGAAAATATTTATAGACGAAAATTGTGCGGCACGTGATATATTTTCATTCGCTCGTGCTTTCTGACTATCTGATCTCTATGGACTGAATAATATTATTTTAGAAGCAATACAAAAGCAATTTATTTCTCAAAGCCACGAGAGTTTCAGAGCAGATTCGAGGACCGTCTAATACTGTATATTCGGATACGTATATATTTGTCCATGCTCTTGTAAAAACGAACGTTTCCGATCTAGTTCCTAGGCTTCTCAGTACGCGTTCTTAAAATGAATGCGTGCTCAGACGACTACAAGTCCAAAGGATTTCATGATCACGTGGGCATGTGGCAATGTGCAATGTTTTTAGTGTCCGTTTATCCATGCAGGGGTCGTTCTAAGGCCTTCCGTTTTTCAAAATGAATATTATAGTTATAAATGTAAAATGGGTATAGTTCTAAAACGTAAATAAGGCATTTCTAAAATTGAGTTTTCGAGCTTTATATGAAGATTAGTCAAAAATTA